ATGGAAAGGTGTTTACAAAATGTAACCTCCTCCCTCTCCACCATCGAAATGGACTAGCACGGGAAATATTTCTACTTCACATTCCTATAGAAAGGATTCCCATTGGTCTTGGCTGTAGCATTTGATCACTCCCTTGTGTGTGAAGTTGAAGACACATTTCACGACTAGGTGGAAATTATAATCGAGGAGCGTGCGGCAGAATCGTCCGCTGGGAGCAGTAGTGGGCGTGGGGGGCAGAGGCGCAGATATCGATACGCCGCAGCGTATCGACTGTAAATAGGTTGGGCCGTGCAGTGAATGCTGCCCACATCACTACGCTTACGACGCATTTTTCGTCGCGACTCGAATGTAACGCTACATCTCAGCTGGGAAGACCTTAATATTAGCGATTCGATCGCTTGGATGGCACGTTCGAAAAATATGAACAAGCTGAGGGAGCCCTTTCTCTCCGCATGTTGCTTTTCGTTGAAAAATGAAAGACGGGCAGAACAATTGTAATTTGCCGCGTTGTCGCGCCAACGTATCGTACGGTGAATCCTCGGTGTGCATCGATCTGCCATTGTAACAACGAAACACTTATGAATCCAAGCAGAGGCAAGACTTCATGCCAGCCGACAGCGAACTTCTCAATCCCTCTGTCAAAATTAAACGACCAGGCAGGACACCTCGTCCGCATTTGGGACCTTCTCGACGAACTGTTCCGATTTCTCTGCCGCTGATGGGTCTATGAGCATCCACAAATTCATATGTGAACCCTCCCCCCTACGCACGATTTTCAACCTTTAGCGGTGTTTCGACCATGTTTCCATAGACTAACAACAATGAAAATGCTTTATTAATTAGACTTCACTTCATATTACTCAACAATTGCAAAAAAAGAAATCATCGCTCTTATTATGAAGATCTTTGTTTTGAAGGAACATTATTGAGGATAATAACGGTCAATCCAGTACTTCAATAAATCAATCAATTCGTGCTAATAAGCTCAACATCGAAGATGAGAGTGGAATTCGGTGGGATTGCTCCAGGAACTCCTCCTGAGCCATAACCAAGATCAGGCGAGATTGTTAGCTTAGCTCGTTGCCCAACGGACATCTGAATAACTTATTTTACAAAACATAACACTTAAATCTTTACTTAGTGAATAGAACCGAAGGAATCGATGAAGCACCTGAGCTACTCCTTGATCCCATCCCTTAATAACTTCTCCCTTACCAATCTTGAATTTGAACGGAGATCCACGGTCACGAGAGCTATCCACCTGAACACAGGAATGGTGAGACTATCTTCAACGAGATATAACCAGTGAGAAAGGTTATACCTTCTTTCCATTCTGTAAAGTGAGTACATAGTGACAAGTTACGGTCTGACCCGTTTTCGGGAAGGTAGCACCTAAACTTAAACAAAATGTGAACAAAGCAAATTCTCATGAAAGAATAAAAAGGTTCAGCTAAATCCTTCAGAAGCAGCTGTTGGACTGGGGAGAGGGGGTATTTTATAGGTTCGCTAATTTCTTTTGTTAATTCTGTTGAATTAGCCGTCTCGTGCGGGTGAAACCTTTAAGCCTTCGTTAAGAGTGAGCAAAGCTCGTGCTGTGCATAGCTTTCTAAGGCAGCGTTCAGACTTCGCGACGGCAGCGCTTCGGTCGCGCGATTCGACGATCGATGCAGTCGAAAGCATGCGCATCGATCGTCGAATCGCGCGACCGAAGCGCTGCCGTCGCGAAGTCTGAACGCTGCCTAAGAGTTCACAGGTCTCTATAGGAGGCAGAAGCAATAATCGATGAGAACCAGAAAATGGTCTCACTAACCATAAGCCGACGTGCGCCGGCATCTGAATGCGATGTACAAGGTGGACAGCACGGAAGACGAAATGCAGGACAAAAGACTCCATCACGGGCGATATCAAAGTTTCCCGTCCCTTCAACACTCAAATTCAAACGGCCGGGCAAGACAACTCTTCCGTGAACGCAGCGTCGCTCACCACGCCCGCGCATACTACGATTGTCTTGTCACAGACCCAGGCAACACCAGCAGAACACATCTCGAGCCTTGGGCAATGATGAAAAGCTAACGAAAGCGATAGCAGGTAAAAAGCAATCCTGCACAAAATGAATCAAAGCTAGATTTAGGGCAAGCTAGATTCAGGGCCTCGTCTTGACTGTAAACAAAACTTTAGGAAACTCGCCGAGCAGCGCAGCCCCTCGTGGAAGCGTTCAAGCGTCATTCGGCTTTGCAGGGACATTGCCCTAATTTGCTAGTTTTTCTTGAATTATCAGTTTCATCCAGACAGACCTCGTGATTTTTAAGCACCACAGCACAACAGGCAGGGTACTGTCAACTTCGCAAACTGACTTCCAAGTACAACAAATGCTGTTAAGTGGAATGTTAGGACGACTTTGAACAATACTTCTGTGGGAATCCTCACTCTAATACTTTATCTCTGTTGAAAGAATCAAAGGACTGTTTCGAAAATCACTTTGTCTGTAGGAATCCGTTCACCTCTCCTCCCCCCCCCCTCCCTCCGTGGGCTCCCCTAAGCTTGGACAAGTATCTTTGCCTCCTTCACCTTTCAGCACTTACCATTAGCACTTAATGTTCCACTTTAAACCGCGTTGCAACTTTGCGACACAGGAGAATAGGAGATTAGGAGTAAATGAAAATGCCCACCAAACGAGTAGATGGGGATTGATCGACTAGCAAAACGGGAGGATAGGAAAACAGGAGTTGATCGATTACGTTTTACCCTCTTCCCCTACCTCTAGATCAATACAGATACTTTCTATTGCACATTCTTCCATGATGTGAAGTATAAACTCCGTTCTTAGTGAACAAATGCAATACACTTTCTAATTGGACCCATTCTATCACATCTGATGAATTCCACAACTTAAAATCGACCCATGTTATCCATGAAGCAGCACCCTCCTAACATCAACCCCCTCCCAAAGTTACATACCTCTTATCACTTCCACTGATATGAGAGGACATTTTATGCAAGGACAAACGAACAGTTTGATGATTTCGAGCAGCAGAAAGTCCGACTTTGGGCAATAATTATGCTGTCCAAGACAGAATTTTTGATCTGCCAGAATTTTCCCAAGTTGGATGTTGACGGGTGCGTATTTCAGCCTTCTCGCCAGAGTAAGGCCGCATTCATTCACGACGATTTTGAAAAAAATGAAACTCCGGACAGAAGAAAGAATACATATAGATCTGAAGAAATGACAAATCTGCAGAAATGCTCAAATCGGCGACAAGCGGTAAACAGGAATTCATTGCTGAGCTGGGCATCTGGAAGAAATGCCCTATCGATCCTGCGGAGTCTCGGCATTTCTGCGAAATCAGCGATTCTGCTAATTCCGCAGATCGATCATTCCTTCGAATCGATAACCATGGTTTCTTTTTCCTGCAGTTTCGTCATTTATTCGAACTCGTAGTTCATGAATGCAACCCCATAAAGGATTCTAGAACGCCCAGTCCTTACCAAGGAATTGAATACTTGTGCAAATGCCAAATCAGGGATATTTCGTTTAAGACTCATAAGAATAAAGTTTAAGGCCTCGGCCGCTCATACAGTGCTTGAAATAAAGCCGTGGAACCAGCAGAAATGCCGTCTTCAAATAAATCATATCTTACAGGAAGAATGCTAGGGAGACAAGTAAAATAAACACATTTTTTTGTAACTGTCAAGCAAACACGGTATATAAAGCGACGAAAAGGAAATGACCACAAGAATAAGTTATATTAAGCATCGCCGGAAATAAACCCCAATTAAATCGCAAGTTTCATAAGTTCCAATAAATACTGGAGTAAAATAGGGTAATTAACATACCATCTCCAGCCTTGATCGTTTCAATGTCAACTCCCATTGTTGCAAGCAAAACCTCCCTGAAAGAAACTTGTTTATGAAATTGACAATAAAAACAAGCCACTCAAAGGCATAGATAAGAGGGACTAGCGCTAGTAAAACGAAATTCGTAAAAATGAAGGGAGCACAAAGGAATGTTTACCGAAAAAGACCAAAAGCCCAACAGGTAAACAACCCCAGCTCGACAACAAAACTGGGCTCAACAATCAATTCTAGTCATTTGCATACGGTCGTCTTCCGCACGGGACCTAGCGCTCCGAGAGCTTCTAGAACCTTTAATTCTTACTACTTTTTAGTAATCGTCAGTTTTTTTCGGGAACTCCATTGATCTTTTTATAGCGATCTTTTATAAGTATCACTATGATGATGGTGCATCGTTTTGACAGTCCGTCGGTATGTTCGTCCGTAAATTGTCCTTTCATATCAGTGGGAGTGATAAGAGGTAAAACCGGAAACCATTCAATGTTACAGCACCAATCTGTGGTAATGTTGTGGCTGTGATAAGCCACTTAGTACCCTCTTAACGCGCTTCACAAAGTGTTCGCGTTCCTCGTGCAGGTGGCTGCCTGTAATGAAAGTGAAATGATGCATGTGAAGAGTGATGGGTGGGCTGCGGAAGAATTGAGTTATTGGAGCCAGATATGCTGGGACATTTTGGTGCAAGTATTTGTGACGCAAACGTCTACCCCAACATTTCAGGCCAGTGAGGGCTTTTTGCTGAGGCTTAGGAGGAGGGAGTTCAGGCTAGGCGGAGTGGTCCAGCCACTCCGGAGCTCAGTTTCCCTAGACTTGGGAGAAAATATTTATCCATTGCCTTTCTTCACATTTTCAGCGGTAGATGTAGGTAAACACAGAAAAAAAACTCCCGACAGAATGACGTGGCAACAAGGCTCAGAGCTCACAAACACAAACCTCTGCAGAATGCGATTATGCAATCCGACGCTTATTGCATCCAGGAACCCCAGTGTGTTTGAGAAACACCCGATATTTTAGTTTTATAAAAAGTAATCTTTCGATGAATACTTCTCGAGAGGAGAAGTGTCTGCGGAAGTGGTAAGCATTCTCCAGCACTTACGAAGGACCGAAGGCAGTACAGAACAGGATGTTCTGCTCCTAGTCAAGCAGGTAAAGGCATTCGAGACGACTATTTGAAATAGGGCACATCACTGGTTGGGGACTTTGGTCGAGTCCGTACGCCCCCCCCCTCTCTGTCCGCTCGCGATCGAATCGAGCCGTCAGCGCGGCGGGGGGGGGAGGGATAAACAGCACATGTGAAAGAGGAAAAGCCGCGAGACAATACGACCCCCACCCTTCTACCAATTCTCAGATTTTCCCCAACTTCCTGCCTCTTTTTGCAAAAATTTAGAACTTCCCCCTTTTCATACTTTTTTCCCCAAGAATTTTGCTCTCGAGGTTGGGGGAAGGGTATACTACTCATGAAACAGGAAAATCACGAAAAGTCAACCATCACTCTCACCACTCCTAGAAAATCAAGAAAGAAATACGACCCCCCCCCTTTTACAACGTCCGTGAAGCGAGAAAAATCAACTATCAAAATAAATTTTTCTCAGCCCAAATACGACCCCCCTCTCCTGGCGGCCAAATACGACCCTCCCCCTGTTGGGGATTCCCCAACAACGATGTGCCCTGATTTGAATATAACACGCGGCAGCAGTGCCACGTTGAAATAGTTGGGTCCTGGTGCGAATGCCGCGCATCGACCTCTCTTGTAACATCTCTTCAGGCAACTGGACCATTTCTTCGAGAAAGAGTTGCTCCGCAGCTGCAGTACTGAAGGAGTCGTCATCGACAGCAAGCATACAGCCTTGTTCGCTGCGGATGCTGAGGCTGTATAAGGTGGGCTGGGTTATGCGCGGCGCCAGCCAGTTTTCCACCAATGGCGGTCGCTTGTCAGCATTCACAACTGATGGAGAACGGGCTGGCGTTGCGCATAATCCACCGTTCATCTGACACGCCCCAGCATCCGCAGCGAACAAGACCGAGGCAATCTCATAGTTAGCTAGTGAACTGTAGAAAGAAAGCATCCTCGCCAAGAACTGAGCTACAGAAGTTACGAACAATGAATTCACTTCTTTAAAAAATACATTGAGAATATTTTATGGAGAGCGATCAATGAAATCCCAGAATTGGGACAGACTAACGAAAGGCAGTAAAAGAAGAAAGTGCAACCACAGCGGGTTTTTTTTCGCTCACATGACGTGCAAATAAAAAACGACTGCGGCGTGATTGGCACATAACCCTTGAGATAGTCTCAACTAGAGAACTCCTATTTCTGCCGCTGGAGTGGAGGGGAGGGGTCATATTCGGCTTGCTAGAATGGGTCTCTAGAATGGAGGACAGCTATTAGCCGCTTCTGGCTGAGCCCTACCTGGTCAACGGATTTTTCGTGGGAAGTCGCTGACAGTGGATAACAC